AAAGTGAATAGTCCCATGTCGATTATGTGACATAAGAAATATATGTAATGTGATGGCAATAAGTTGGAGAAATTATAGCTGAAGCTGTGACCTTCTAGAAAGTCCTCTCTTGAATTACTTGTAATATGTGATTGCTTGGCTTATCTATAATATAATATGGGTATGTAGTTATCAAGATTGATTAATACAAAACCTTAGCTGCTCTTAGTAATCTCCTAAGGCCTGGTCTATACGCATAATATCCCCGACAAGATTGTGATGTACTTGGGAGTTTGATTGGTCAAATACATATAAAATTGTTCATAAGTGAAGAGCCCAAATCAAACCAATAAAGAACTCTGTCAACCTCCGCAACGCTAATGACTTTGAATAAATAATGAATTTAGAAATGATAATTTAAGGGCAAATATTCGTGGTGCCGTGAAAGAATACACCACCAAGGGAGGGTTTTGCTGGAGGGAGGAGAGTCTGATCCCAAAACCCACAATCACAAGAAACTTTGGTCGGCAGTTCTTTTGGGCATATAATGTCATGGTATGCACGTACTTACAAAGATTATTATGAGCAATAACACTCACCCGCTTGCTACCGCACCCAGATTCTCACCCCTTTGAAGCCTTCGCTTGCGGGATCCACAGCGCAAGATGTATGATTTTTTGGAGTTGATGTTTTTCCTTTTTCTTTTGATCGAGTAACCGGGACCTGATGCCCCAGAAGAAATTTCTTAACTAGAGAAAATAGATGCAAATTACACATAAAGAGAGAGAAGTACGTAATAGCATTAACTAAAGAAGAATTAAATTAAAAGACGAAACAAATTAATCTAGATTTTTCAGTCAAGTACTTAGATGTAGGACAGTGTAGACATACTAGGAGGAGGGTGATTGTACAATTAGATGACGATAAGTGAAAATGCTTTTTAACTCGCAGCCGCCAACTCACGGGCAGCTCGCTTAAAAAAGAAATATACATATATATATATATTACCTGATCCGCCAAAAACCGTCTCCTATATGCCTCCTGAGCATCAGAAGGTAGAGTCGATATAAACTGGGTGAATTCCAGCTCCCTCTGCTCCCGACGCCTCCGTTCTTCCTCCGCCATCTGGAGTAGCTCCGACTCCCGACGCGACTGCCAATCTTCCATCGCTTTCATCCGCTGCTCCATAGTCGGGTCTTGAGAAGAACTGCATCCTGGTGGAGCTGCAGACTCGTAGGTGCTACTGGACTCGTACGGCCGATGCTCGGATCCTCTCCACCTGTATCTGTTCTTCCTACTCGGTCCAATGACCGTCTCGATGATGCTATCCTCCTCCTCTCTACTTAATCGGGTCGGAGTGTTAGAATCGACCTGAGTCTGTGATAATTGCTCCTGCACCTTAGCATGTAATTTCTCCTGCGATATACCAAAACAACCCGGTCAATTCTAACACATTTAAAATGCATTGTTATAAAAATTAAATATACAAATTAACTGCTACTTACAGCCAGATCCCGGTTCTGCGCTTTCTTCACTTCATCGGCGTAATTTGGACTCCAACCAGTCAGAATACGATCTGCAAAATGCCCGAGTTCTCCCCTTCCCTATTTTATTCACATATATCATTAACTCATAACACATAAATTATACTCAAATTGATAACCTAAGAGCTAATATATTATATACCTCAAGCGCCAATTGATGATAATGCTGGCTGAAGGACCTGGAGCCCCCGTGATGCTCGTAACTGCGGGGCGCATTGCGGTTCCTCCTTGCTATTTCAGCTTGTTCCTGCAAAAGAATGTTAAACAGATATAATATAGAATTTCAAACAATAAACAAAGATATATACTTCAATAATACCTGAGCTTCGGCCGTGTCCCAATAATCGCAAAGTGCAAAAAAATCAACTCCATCCACGCGCTTGTCAAGATGCCAGTAACGCTCCCAATCTTCTGTTCTTTGAGTAAAATATTTTTTCTTCAGCTCTGACCGCCACCTCTTGAACGATAGATTGATTTGCGTGAAGCAGTAAGTCCAGGCACAAGCGTAATCGTCAAGAAAGAAAAATCGCTTCAGCATACAATGAAAAAAGAGATACAAATCAGTGTGTTAAACAAAATAATAAAATGACTAATAATTATGAGAATTAAAATAAATGACTCACACATATATATCTCCAACAAGCCACCAGCGCATCAATCCGCTGCGACTTCCACGTCAAAAATATGTTGAAGAAATCATGTCTCCTGGCTAAAGCGGCGAGGAAATTGTTGAATGAGTTAGCAAATGGCCCGACAGGCACGCCGTTCTCCCATCGGATCACGGCCCTCCGATGAATATCTGGGATGAGGTTCTGTGTCTTGGTACCACTGCGGCCGCGCCTAGTAGGTCGCTCGGTACCTACGAATATTTGAAATTCAGGCGAAATATAAATCAATCAATATCGATAATACAAATTAAAATATTAACAGATAAAATATAAAAATCTATACACACCTTTCAATTCGAGGCATCTACGCCTTGCTTGTTCATACCTATGCTGTGCGATAGGTCGCAAATCATGATAAACATCCCAATCCCCCTTCACTTGGCCGGGTCGTGGGCTCGCTGATCCGGAATAGAATCCGGCGATAGTGGCGCAGCTTCTACAGCTGCGCTATATGGCTCATATCGGCGCTCCTCCAATACATCTGCATGCGGAGGAGGCGACGGCGGCATCTCTGCATGCTGGGTAGGATCAACGAGTGTCTCCGCATCAGGTGGAGCATCTCCTCGTCCTGTGTCCTGTGGCGGCCCGTCATGTGTAGCAGCGATGCGGCCTGCGTAGGAAATGTGAAAAAATAATGTTAGGCTCGTATTAATAGTTTATAGAAATGTACAGATATAATAAATAAATAAAAATACCTGACGTAGAGCCATGTGCGTCGCCTCCAGAATGTCTACCAATAAGTCTCTCAAGCGCTCTCTTACGTAATCCTTTTGTCATCTATACTTTGAAAACATAATGAGTACCCAACAAAACTATAATACATGACAAAAACTGATACATGATAACCAGTCAAACAGATAATATAAAGGCAATACTATAATACATAACACAAACTGATACATGTTAACCAGTCAAACAGATACATGAATGTTCTTTTTAAATCATAACCAAGTAGTATATTATTATGATGATGTTGAGGCTCTACTCTGCGACCGTGTACGGTTAGCCTGCGACCGTGTGCGTGCCGACAAAAGGACTGTCCTTATAGTTTTATCGACTCTACCGTGGACTCGTTTTTTGATTTTACGCCTTGGCTCACATATAATCGCAGGTACATCAGGGCGCGCCAGTGCAATTTCATCCACCAGATTATTTTGTGTCAAGGATTGACTTTACGCCTTGGCTCACATATAATCGCAGGTACATCAGGGCGTGCCAGTGCAATTTCATCCACCAGATTATTTTGTGTTAAGGAAAACTCAGCAACTGTTTCGTCGGCCAAGATAACATCTTCCTGATATTCGTCAGACACGGCTTCATGAATGTAGGATCTAGGCGGATTCTTAAGGACAACCCATTCGTCATTTTTCATTATATCTTTGACATAAAAGCACTGTTTGGCGTGAGCAGCTAACATGTACTTTTCAGTCTGATATATTTCCTTGTTAAGATTAACGAGTGTGTAACCGTAGTCATCCTTCGCCTTTTTCAGCTCACTCCAACGAACCTTAAACATCACATGTCTGACTTCATTATTAATCCCATAGAAAATCTCCACAATGTCTTCTACCTGACCGTAGCAATAGATTTCACCTTGTATCGGATTTAGATCTTTTGAACTAGCGTATGACAGTTGCGAGAAGGAGCAGAACACACCGCTATTTTGCGTTTGTCGTCTCTCTTCGAAACCGATGGTGTTAAATATAGCTTGCAGTTCGGGACGGATGTTCAATTCTGCTAGGTCTCGACGTGCCCTTAAGTCATCTTTTGATTTTTTCCCGTCCTGCAACAAAGTGTTCAAGAGATTCTCGCATATGTTCTTCTCGATGTGCATGACATCCAAGTTGTGACGTATTTTTAAACTTCTCCAATATGGCAATTGATAAAATATGCGGAATTTTGACCATCCATGCAGAAGTTCAGTACCCTTAGAGACACGCCCACGCGATTGGACAATGCGAGGTTTATTTCCTTTCGAACTGCCTTTGAGAAATTGCTTACCCTTTCCCCTTCCTTTCCAATTTTGCTTCAATATTTTTCTCCTAACCCCAAATGGATTTTCTTTGTTGAATCTTTTCTTTCCAAATATTTTTTTAGGTAGAGGATGTAGAAGCTCAAATATTTCTTCCCCGGTCAGCCTTGGTGGTGCCGGTCTGTTTTCTGGATTGCCGTCGAACTTTCCTACTAACTTTCTGAACTTGTGCCCTATAGGTAACCATCTTCTGTGTTGCCAATAACAGAACTTGCGGCTGTATTTCAGGAACTTTCCCTCATAATCTGACATGCAAATCGGACAAGCAATCTGACCCTTCGTCGACCATCCAGACAAGTTAGCATATGCTGGAAAGTCATTAATTGTCCACATGACCATTGCACGCATACGGAAAGCCTCCTTACCATAAGCATCGTAAGTGCTGACGCCTTCATCCCAGAGAAGCTTCAAGTCGTCAATTAATGGTTGGAGGAAAACATCAATGTCATTTCCAGGAGAATATCTTCCAGGGATCAAGAGTGACAGTATCATGTATGGCTGCTTCATGCACATCGACGGCGGCAGGTTGTACGGTGCCAGCAACACTGGCCAGGTAGACCAAGCAAAGCTCATTACTCCAAACGGATTAAATCCGTCGCTAGCAAGCCCCAGCCTAATATTCCGAGACTCCTTACCAAAGTCAGGGTATATACAATCGATGTGCTTCCATGCCTCACCATCAGCAGGATGTCTCAATTTCCCGTCCTCTTTGCGATCGGTCGAATGCCATCGCATATTCTCAGCCAGCTCGGCAGACATATAAAACCTCTGCAGCCTAGGAATAATAGGAAAATATCGGAGAACCTTCACAGGGATTCTGCTCTGTTTATTGGATGATATGCCTTCAGATGTGCCCGTATGTTTTTTCCAGCGTGATACATGACACGTCGGACATTCCTCTAGACCTTCATTACCCTTATTGTACAAGATGCAGTCATTAGGACAGGCGTCTATCTTTTTGTAATCAAGACCCAGGGTATCAACAATCTTGTGAGCTTCATAATAAGTTGTGGGGATGCTCTTCTCGCCGCCTGGAATGACTTTCCTGAGCAAGTCTAATAACATATCGAAATGTGTAACAGCCATCCCACTGAGTGTTTGGATATGAAGAAGCCTCAGCATAAAAGAAAGCCTTGTGAACTCGGTGCAACCCTCGTATAACGGTGACTCGTTTTCTTCAACAAGTCTCATCAATCGGGCTACATCTTGAAACATATCAGTAGTGTTAACATCACTCGAAGACGGCACGGTAAGAATATCTTCCAACATATCAGTTGTGTCAATTGTCGGATTGTCGACATCAGTAAACTCTTCCTCTAATTGCATCACCGGGACGCCTTCACCGTGATGACTCCAAAATACATAAGAGCTATCAAATCCATTGATTGACAGATGGAAACTTACGTCACTCCTAGTGAGCATTTTATCATTCCTACAATTCTTGCAAGGACAAAAAAATCAACCCGCTGAGTGACCGTAGAGGGTTAGTGTCAGAGTAGGCTAAGAAAGATTCTATCCCATCCTTGTATCGAGTGTCTAGATGCCTTCGATCACGTGGTATGCCCATGAATGATTTGTCAGGAATTGTCCGCATCTAGAATTTAAAAATTAATGGAAGTGAGCATATCCCTACATATATCATTTTAAGTTATAGGACAAGTGTGTGTGATCGGCTGTCAGAGGAAGGCTTCTATCCCATTAGGTATGTAAACATAGCGTGTATATGTATATACGTGTGTTCAAGTGTACTTTTATTTCGTCAAAATTTTGGCAGCACCTACTCGCTGTTCTCCGAGTACACTATAGTACACAGAGAACAACGAGTAAGCGCCGCCGAAACTCTGACGAAAATAAAGTACACAAGAACACACGTAAATACATATGCACGCCATGTTTACATACCTAACCCGTCCAAACTAGACAGATCCAATAAATATTTATATATAAGCCCTCCGTCACATACGAGTACGGAAAGGTTATCAGACCGAACACGATGGTATCATATCCGCCAACAATCCTGTACGCGTATGTGACAAGTAAATAAAGAGATTATATATAGTATTTATTGGACGGGGTATTCTACGACTCGAAAATATGAGTGTACAGTGTGTGCAATTTCTATGTAATTAGCGATATAATAGTTATGATAAACCCTCACAATCACCTCACCCTCATTGTAACCATCACCCTAACCCTAACCCTAACCGTCACCTTCACCCTCCCCTAACCCTAAACCTAAACCTAACCTAAAACTCACCTCAAACTCACCCCCACCCCCACCCTAACCCTCACCCTCAGCATCATCCCCACCGGACCCACCTTAACCGCTCACAACCCTCAGCATCACACCGTCCTTACACTGAAGCGCTTCCAACCGCTGCACCATAACCCCTAACGCCTCACCCTTACATTACAGACCCCTAACTCGGCTAACCTATACGGCCTCAGCCCCATCCACTCTAAAGCCCTAAACCGCTAACCCTTCAACCTCAACGCTAAAAAGCTCACCCCCAACCCCCACGGCCAAACCCTAACCGCTCAGCATCACCTCCCAGCCCGTCACGCCCTAACACTAACGCCTAACCCTAACCCTCAACGCTCACCAGCACCGACCCAGCACATCAGCCCTCACATAAACCCTAATCGCTCACGGCTAACGGCGATAACCGCTCAACCTGCAACCGTTACCATCACCCCTACGCGTCACACCTCAGACTAACCATAAACCCTAACGCGCCTCAGCCCTCACCTCAACCTTCCCTAACCGCTAACCCTAAGCCCTAACCCTAATCTTAATTTTTTTATATATAATTTTAACAATATGAATATTTTTTATTAGGGTTTTGATTTTCATAATTTTTTGGTTTTGGGCAAAAAATTAAAATTATAATTATAAACTATAATCTTAATTTTTTATTAGGGTTTTGATTTTTTATTAGGGTTTATTTTTCGCATAAAATTATTTTGGTTTTGTAAAAATTAAACTATAAACTATAAGATTTGAGGGGGGAGGGGGAAAA